AGTGGGTCAAGTTATATAATTGCAGGGAACAGGAAAGAATGAGGGGTGAAGAACATGGCAAGAATTCTTTCTTATACCTTGTATACAGTACAACTAGATGTGCTTTAACACAATGAATAATGCCTTTGTGGTGCTTTTTAATATGGAAGCTCTACGGTGCTACCAATATTACCTTTTGCCAATTAAGACAAAATTGGCAGAAACCCTATATATACCAAAGTATTATGACCACAGGCTTGATACACCATTCTTTCAAAAGGTGCATATTGGATCTGGTCACAAATATTACTGTATCTGCTTCTTTAAATATACTGTAAAGGAACATTCCCACCAGCTCATAGCATGCTGAGACGTCTGTCCACTTTTTCTTAGAAAATAAAATGTGCTGCAGGTTTTTTTTAAAGAAATGTCCTTAAAAGCACCATGGTCTGCTATCCAAGACTAAACAAGATGGGATGAAATTATGTGTCCAAACAATATAAAGTAACTGTGAGCAGCCCTGAACTCAGATAGCTGTTTAGGGTGGCAGGGGGAGATGAATTCTTGTCAACCTTATATAGAAAGAAGAGCTTTATGAAAGAAAGTGGAAATGGCTTGGACCTTTTTCTCCCACTCAGCTAATGCTGCTTCACCACAATTCAGTTTGAAGATCCCCATAGCTGTGGCTTTTTTCATAAGAAAAGATCAAGAAATCTAGCTGCTGCTTATCAATTTAGCTTAGTATTGTATAACTGTACATTCTCATAGCACAATCACTAGACTACATGGGGATGTAGGCCAGCGTTTTACAAACAGAAGGAAGTGCTATTTCTGTACTACAGTACTTTGTCAACACAGACTAGAAGATTATATTCAGTTTTGCTGGACCTGTCCAACTGCAAGCACAATCTCACTTTGTTTCTTAGATCTTTTCAGCATGGTGCAGCATTTAATTATAATTACAAAGCATACAATCACATATGTGTCTTCCTAAAACTTTTGTTTCTTTCCTTCTAATAGGTGATCAGGCTATTCAACCCCTTCAGGCCCTAACATACAAAATTGAAGATCGATTTAGACTAACTAGCCCAGTGGAAGCAACTGGCAGCCCAGTCAATACATTCCATGCCATAAAAAGTTCATCCTTCCCAATGACTAATACACCCTTTTAACAGCTGCAGCATCAATTTAAATTCAAAGCCCACTCCCTCCTTTGCAGTCCTAAAAGACCAGTCACTGTTGCTGCCCAACTACATACTCCTACTTACATGCCTGGAACGCTGCTCTTTGGCTTAATTCCCCACCCCACACCGCCCCCGGATCCTTTCTAATTCTCCCCTTTCTCCCCGTTCCCAGTGATTGCATTTCTTCTCTTTCCCCATTATATATTCACACTGAATATCAACTACCTACCCCTCCTTATGCCCCCATTCCAGGTTTTCCCTATACAAATACTTATTAGGATGCTTTTCATAGTATAAAACCAATGATCAACTAATACAGAAAACTACCTCCAAACTTCTGGATACTGTTTTAAAAATATTAATTAAATAGCCCAGGATCTAATTAAGATAAGTTTTAAAAAAAATCATCTGGAATATGCCAGGTCATGTCACTCTATAGCTTGCTTTAAGTCACTTCTGAAAGGAAGGAAATATTTGCCCATAACTATGATTTTTACAGGTTTTCATATTTTCCACCAGTATCAACATGAATGTTTATGCTTTTATTGCAAACATTTCCAGTGGTCCAATGGGTAGTAATATATTGAATCAAATAATTTCTGAAACAGAACCATCCAAGTGGAATATGCTTTAAAATGAGAGGAGGAGGAGGAGGAGGAGGAGGAAAAGGGGGGAATCAAAGACTACCCCATGTAAAAAACAGTAATCTGATCTGGATATAACCAGAA